GATAATTCTTTCATGAAGAATCACAAAAAGGAAATTCAAAAAAACGTAAGATGCATGTATAATGATTTGATGGTGAGTCAAAGAGTAACATCATAATACAAAATTCACACTCTTAAGGTATAAAATTACATAATACAAAACACAAAATACATACACTTGTTATATATTTACTTATTTTTCAAATTTGATTTAGATAGAAAATTTATGCTCTATAGACAAAATTTTACAATACATGACAAAAATTCATAACATAAGACACACAATATGTTGTGTATTACACAACTACTAATTGTTTCAAGTACATAATTCATAATTTTAAATTACAAAATTTTTTAATTTTTTTTTGATATAAAAAAATTACAAAATTTCAAACACAAACTCACAACACAAGACATACACATACTTTATATGAAAAAAACTGTAACTTGAATTGGACAACCGAACGATCGCCATCAAAATTAAATAAATCGTCGTTCGTAAACAATGTCGTACAAGACCGGGTCCATGTATAATGATTGTTCCCATCTAATCTACCATGTTATATATATAAAATAATAAGATAAATACTATTGTAGTAGTTATTGTTTGAGTTAATTCCAGCAATGGTCCTCCGACTATATTGATTTTCCAAAATTAGTCCTTGACTTTTAATTTGAACACTTTAAGTCCCTTGACTTTCAATTTCTTTCCAATTGAGGTCCTTTCGTCAGAATACGGTTAATTGAATTTTAAATGAAGGGGTAAACTCATCATTTCACCTGCCTATGTATTATTCTTAGTATTTCTCCATTGTATACGCGATACATATGAAGATAATCTTAGTCAAAGCCCTGCCTATGTATTATTCTTAGTATTTCTCCATTGTATACGCGATACATATGAAGATAATCTTAGTCAAAGCCCTAAAATGTTCCTCGTCGTTTTCCATTTGCTAACTACTCATGTGTGCGTTCCTCTATTATTGAGATGTTTACAAGGTATAACAGCGAAATACGAAGGGAGAAATACGAAGAATAATACATAGGCAGGTGAAAGGACGAGTTTACCCCTTCATTTAAAGTCTAATGAACCGTATTCTAACGAAAGGACCTCAATTGGAAGTGTCCAAATTAAAAGTCGAGTACTAATTTTAGAAAATCACTATAATCGGAAGACCATTGCTGGAATTAACTCTTATTATTTCTAAAAGTCTACAAGAATTATAACTCAAATTAAATTTTACTTCTTTCCTTTTTTTAAGTTCTAAATCCATAAGTTTATTTGAAAATAATGAATAATAATTAGTTATTATATTTAAATAATTTAATTATTTGTTTAACATAATTAGTGAATTTTATTATGGATATATAATTTAAATATTATTATTATTTTAAAGCTTTTATTAAGATTAAAAAAAAAATAGTGAGTATCCCAATTTGATGGGGGCGAGAATGAATTTTGAAAAAGTTCATCCATGAAGGTGTGGTAGACGGAGAAATATAGGAGTGAGTCTAGTGGTGGATGTAATCAAGTCAAACCTAATCTATTTTTGGAATGATAAGTGAAATTTGCAATCACCGTCCAAGAATTTGCACTGGGTAAACTTCCGCCTTGTGACCCTAACCAGTAAAGGACCACAAGAAAGTAAACAAGCCTAAATTGCTTATGATTGGCCGACTCAAACCAAGAAGGTTTGAATTCGAACTCGTGACTTTATGATTACAAGTCTCTAACTTAGTCAGCTTGGCTAGGGTTACCCCAACCCGATCTATTGTGTGTACAAGGAATGGGGATCTATAAATTTTCTGGCATGCTTTTAAACATAGTACTATATCAGACATTTTTAGATTATAAGAAAATCATGCAATATACCATAGAAATAAGCCATCAATACCACAACAGTTTTATGCATAGATATGTTTTTCTCCAGGCTATAGGGAGATCATTAAATATAAGGCAACAAGCATGACTGGATAGATCAGACCATAACATTTAACTTATTGAGCAGGTGATTCATGCCATCAAGAAGAAGCTGCTGCTTCCTGCAGCTGTTTCACCTTGGTAATATAATCACTCATAGCTTCATCCTTGGATTTTCCTGCCGAAAAAAAAAAAAAAAAGTGCCAAATAAATACACATATATGAAGCATTCTCTGTAAAAAGATTGTTACTTTTTCCTCATAAAACAAGGGTATTTGTATTTTTTGGGGTGACGAGGGAAACCAACAGCCACTACCTGAGGCTCTGCACTGAGTAAACCTCGCCTTGTGACCCTAGCCAGCAAAGGACCACAAGGAGATAAACCAGCCAAGGTCGCCCATAGTTGACCGGCTTAAATCAAGAGGGCTGGGATTCAAACTCGCGACCTTGTGGTTACAAGTTTTTATCCTTAGCCATCTTGGTTGGGTTACCCCAAGGGTATTTGTATTTCATATCCAAGATTGGAAATACCATACCTTCAATAGCCTTCCAAGCATCCCACTTTGCTCTGTCCTTCATGTTGAACATACCCGGACGGCCTGGCAATTAAAATATAATCAGTATGAACAAATGGCACTTGAGCATCATACAAGCAGTACTGAATCAGTAATATTTCTCGTTTGCACAAATCTTGGTTGGAAAAATTACTCACTTGTGTTCACATCCCCAACTGTGGCTTGTTTGTAAAGTCCATAGAGAATGAGCTTGTTTTCATTGGTAGTATTCTCAGGCAATTTCTTAGCTTTCTCAGCGTACTCTTCAAATTCCTCCTGGAGAACAAGAATTCAAGCTCGAGTTTAGTAAGTTAAATGTCAAGCAGGAAATGTAAATCATTATCTGTATTAAACTTTAAACTGGTCCGTATAATAATTACTCCATATAAGATAAAATTAAATGTAAGTGGGGATTCACCAAACAAGAAAATTAGTTCCTAACTCTTTCTATCAAGACATTAAATGGTAAACGAATAGAAGAATGGATTATAAGTCAAATGCAAGATACTGATCACTGTATCTCGACCTTGAGGGCATCTGATTATCTAAGTTCGTCCTGGTATGCAAGGACATACTACCTAAAACTAACGAAAAGTGAATCACAATTATAATGAACACAACAAGTTTAGCAAGTTTTCTACCTAATCAGGCATAATACTGAGCCACCATGAAAATTGATGACAATCAAGCATAAAGTGACTCTTTTAATTGCGTTCGTGCCCGAAGTGCAATCCCTAATCTAGTAAATTATAAAGCAAGGTTATGGTCAAAACTCAAAAGTTGTGAATTTTAATGTGTACATCAGAATATACCGTAGAACCAAAGAAAAGATAACAACTAAAGACTAGTTGGAAATGTAGGATCATCGAATAAAGGTAGTCTTTTGTCAATTGCCACAGCACAAATCATGGAATCTGATGCAAATTACGATGGCGAAAAAAGCACAAGAAGTTGCGCCACATAAAAAGTACTAGTTCTTCGAATATAAGGTAAGGGGAGGCCAGAAAGATTCTCTATAACTTTACAAGCATCTTTCCACCTTCAAAAGTTATCATCCAAATTTGTAAACTATTCCTTTCCACATTATAATAACATTGATCAAAGCCAACATTACTGGGGTCATGAACATGCTAAAACAGAAAGCACAGAAAGAAAGATGCTATAATCACATATGAATATACACACGGTGAGTAAATATAGTTTCATGACTGCTTATCATGAGAGGAAGAGATCCAACAGCAGCATCAGATGAATCAACTCAATACTTAATCATGTCATCTCATTTTTATTTGCCTTTGTAGTTTCTGAGAGTTAACCAAATCTTTCTTTTTTCATCAAATCTCTGAATTTGATAGCAAATACAACAATAATTTTGTAGTTTTGTTAAGGCAGAGTATAGAACTTTTCAAATTACTTATCAGTACCAAAACCAAAAACAAGATCAGAAAACAGTATATATCAAAACCCATCAAAATTTACTGGAGAGACTATTATATCACTGAATATACACAAAAATCGAAAACTTTGAAATCAGAAATTGAACTCTTAATATTTTTACACATTGAAATTATAGACTCTTTTAGCCAAGATTATTCTTTTCCTAAATTTACCAAGATCTAGCGTCAATTTGCCAAGTGCCCATCAAGTAAAATCCCAACAAAAGCAAGGAGAGAACAAAACTATAACATCAAAATGAGAAAATGAGATTCCAAACTACACGATACATGAATGATAAATAGGGGAAGAACTCGCAGAAAACAAACAATTCTTGGGTACAAACAGAAGCGTATATGGATGCTATCGTAAGTATTAAAGGAAGCAAAGTGGGATTTAGGAACTTACCTTCAAACCCATCGTTGGAAATTTCAAGAGAGCTTTGATCTGCTTTGCTTGATTAACCACACTGAAGATGAGGGAAACCTGCAGGTCCGAGTGGTGAATATATATAATTATATAGTGCTTATCCCGATTTTCTTTTAATATTTTAATACTCCGCATAGAGAATATCGAAGCAAGTAACGCAATTGTGGCATATTCTATTTCGAGTAACATGCGTACCGTACAAATATACAATTTGCGTGTGGAAAATAATTTTGTTTGTTTTTTTTTTTTTTTGGGTGATAACTTGATTTCTTAAATTTGCCCCACTATAAATCTTGTACAGTTGTACATCATCAACTCTAAGGCATATTTATTTAGGGGGAAATTGGGACGATGAGAGAAACGCTCCCTAACGAGCGGTCGATGGAGGATCTCGACCTCCTTGAAAGAAGCACGAAAAAGCAAAAACACATCGGCGAGGACGCATTGATCATGGAATCGGATGCGATGAGGGAATAGGGATCGCATGCAGACATAGAGGTGGTGAGCGAGACACCGGCGGAGGAGATGGTGGGGCTTCAAGAGATAGGATCCATGTAGGCACCACGAGGATCGGGCTCGGACACGACACCAAACCAATCATGCCCATCAGAGGCACTGGCGTCACAGAGACGGACATATGCTGAAAGCGTTACTGGCCAGAACGCCCTTCCGGAGAAAGAGACGATGGAGCGCATAGCTGAAGATCCTGATGAGGTCTCGGACGATGAGGATGATGACCCACTCTGCCCGACGATCCACTTAACGAGAGCGGAGGTGGAAGCGATCCGGGCACCTTGGCGGAAAGCCCTTATCATCAAGGTGATGGGCCGACGAGTGGGATACGCTTACCTGTTAAGGCACCTCACGACCATGTGGAAGCCGAAAGGAAGGATGGAGCTAATTGCTATCGATAATGACTACTTCCTCGTACGCTTTGGATCGGTGGAGGATTTGGAGTTCGCTATGTTTGAAGGCCCGTGGATGATTCTGGACCACTACCTGATTGTAAAGCCTTGGGTGCCCGATTTCGATCCTCTTTCAGACACCACAGAGAAGATGCTTGTTTGGGCCAGAATTCCATGCTTACCGGCTGAGTACTACAACTACATCTTCCTTCGGAAGCTAGGGAACAAAGTGGGCAGAACTATCCGCGTGGATCAGGCCACCAGCATGGTATCAAAAGGGAGATTCGCAAGGATCTGCGTGGAAGTGGACATTACAAACCCACTAATATCGAAGTTCAACTACGAAGGCAAAGTGCGATCAGTGGCCTATGAAGGTGTCCATATGATCTGCTTCACCTGCGGGATATATAGCCACGTAGCTGAAGCTTGTCCGTCACTGGTCAGAGCAGGGTCTACACCGAAGGAGGTCCGGGAGGGAATAGGGCGTGATCAACACACCACGGCGGAATAGAATGCGAAGGGGATTGTCATTGGCTCGGAGCCTTTTGGTGCCTGGATGATTGCTCCAGGGCATAGGTCGCGAGCGGGACCTAGACAACAGGCGGCCATTAATGGGGCGGTAGGTGACCAGAGAATGGGAAGCAATACCAACCGGGGTACCACAGTCTAGGCGTCCAGATTTGCTCCTTTGGGCAACCAGGATCACATTGGGAATGACCAGGTGGAGGCAGAGGTGGCGATCGACTCAGGTATTGGTGGCGGCGAGAGGCACACACAACTGAGGGCCCAAGAGATGAGCAGACTGCAGGTGGCTTCAACAACGGGAAATAGAACGAGGAGGCCTAACGTTATAGCATCTGAAAAGCAAGTACAAAATGAACCAAATGAGGCTAGTGGATCGCGAAGCAAAGGTGGGGAGCCAGCCATCAGGGAGAGAAGAGGCAGTAGATCAGGCCCCAGGCGTGCGGCGGAGGAGGACGAACATGTGGTCACAATGGGTGAGCAAGGGGGCCTAGTCATTCGTTCTACAAGGGTGTTCATTGGTGGCGAAGCGGGCGATCTGCCATTGCCTGTATGGCAAGCCACTAATGAGCACCACTCTGATTCGCCGGACGGACTTGACGAGGAAGGGGACGTCGTCATGGACCTTGACGGAGACGGAGCTCAGTGTGCAGATACTGGGGCCGGAAACGCCCATTGAGTTTTAGTTATCGAGTTGGACCTGCTATTTGCTTTTTCTGTTGTGCTTTCTTCTTCTTCCGCTTTTTATTTTCCTATGGATTGTTTGCTTTGGAACTGCCAAGGGGCGAGTGGTAAGGCATTCCACCGCGCCCTCAAGAACCTCTTACAGGTCTATAAGCCAGGCATTCTAGGCCTTTTTGAACCTAAAGTCTCTGGGGCTCAGGCAAATACCATTTGCAATAAGCTTGGCTTCTCTGACTGGATCCGTGTGGAGGCCTTTGGCTTCAGCGGAGGCATTTGGGTCTTTTGGAAAGATCCAGTGCAGATCACTATAATGTACACTCACCCGCAATTCATTCTTATGCAGGTTGAAAAGGCGGGAGATCCCACGTGGTACTTCGCCCTGGTGTATGGCAGCCCAACGCACCACCTTCGTCGATGACTTTGGAGAGATCTTAGGCAGCCAAACAGGAATATAACAGGCCCGTGGCTAGTGGCAGGGGATTTTAACTCTATTGTAAGAAGTGAGGAAACTCTAAACTACACCTCGTTTTCTACGCAGCGAAGCTCCGATTTTGTTAATTGGATCCAGGAAGAGGGGCTCATTGATTTGGGTTTTTCGGGACCGCCGCTTACGTGGGTCAAAGATGGACTTGACAACAATATCAAAGGGGCTCGGCTGGATCGCGCCCTTTAATTTGTAGCACAGATTGGCGAACCAGGTTCCCAGATGCTTGTGTCTCCCACCTCCCAAGAGTGGCGTCGGATCATGCGCCCATCTTTATCCAAGTTGAAAAGAAAAGACGAAATCCCGCGCCTTCACGGTTCGTGAACCAGGCTGCATGGCGCACGCATGACGATTTTCACAATGTGATTGAACAGGAATGGAGGCCAGACCAGGATGTCCCAGCAAATGTGCACAATATTGCAGCCAAGTTGACCAACTGGAATAAAACTGAGTTTGGCAATATTTATATACGTAAGAAGATCCTGCTAGCCAGGTTGGGCGGGATCCAATACAGATTTTGGCCACATCTTTCCACAAGGGCTTGGCTAAGCTGGAAAAAAAAACTTAGGGTTGAGCTAGAAGAAACCCTCTACCAGGAAGAGTTACTTTGGTTCTAAAAGTCTAGAGAGGAGTGGATCGCGTCCGGTGACAGAAACACCGCCTTTTATCATGCAGCTGCGACCGTCCGTAAATCGAAGAATACCATCACTAGCCTACGATACCATCTTGGGAATTGGATTTCAGATGAAAACGAGCTCAAATGTCACATTCAGAACTACTACCACCAACTCTTTACTGGTGAGGACAATGGGAACCCCGGCCATGGAACGTCAGCGACCTTCCCGCTTTTGTCAGACATGGAATGGCGACTTTTCAACAGGCAGGTCACCAAAGAGGAAGTCCATCAGGCCCTGGCTGACATGAAACCTTATAAAGCCCCAGGCCTGGATGGCTTTCCCACTGCGTTTTACCAGCACACCTGGGAGGTAACAGGTGAGAACATCTTTAGAATGGTGCAAAAGGCTTTCACGACTGGTCACCTTCCTGAAGGTATTAACGACACGTTGATTGTTCTCATTCCCAAAGTCACGGGCCCGGAGACCATAAAGCAGTTTAGGCCCATCGGCCTCTGTAATGTGAGTTACAAAATTATAACTAAAACCATCACGAACAGGCTGAAATCGGTCCTTCCCAACCTTGTCGGCCCTTTCCAAAGCTCTTTTGTGCCGGGGCGGCAAATATGAGACAATGTTATCATCGATCAAGAAGCTATGCACTCCATGAGGAAAAAAAAGGGATCTACCGGTCTCATGCCGATTAAGCTAGATCTCGAGAAGACGTATGACCGTTTATCTTGGGATTTTATCGAGGACATCCTCGAGCATGCGGGCTTTAACGAAAGTTGGGTCAAGGTCATTATGAACTGCATCCGAACACCAAGGCTATCTATTTCTTGGAATGGAAAACGGCTCGACTCTATCACCCCGGGAAGGGGCATCCGGAAGGGTGACGCGATGTCCCCCGCTATCTTCATCCTGTGTATGGAGCGCCTGAGCCAGATGATCGTCTAAGCAGTCGAGAGTAAGCTTTGGAAAGGTATTACTTTTAGTACGCATGGACCAACTATTCCTCATCTTTGTTTTGCAGATAACTTGGTTTTGTTTTCGGAGGCAACAGTTGATCAGGTGGACATCATTCAGGGGTGTCTAGACAAGTTTTGTAAAGATTCTGGGCAAAAAATTTGCTTGGACAAGTCACGAATTTTGTTCTCGCGGAACATGGACGCAGCACTGGCAGTGACAGTCACTAACCGGATTGGTATTGAAGCCACTATCAATCTTGGAAGATACTTGGGAGTTCCATCCCTGCATGGCCGCGTCACGTGTAACACTTTTTCGGGGCTGCTGGACAGGATCTCAGCTCGGCTTGAAGGGTGGAAGTCCAAGACGCTCACCACGGCGGGACGGGTGGTGCTTGCTAAATCCGTCCTAAACGCTATTCTGGTCTATACTATGCAAACGATGTACTTGCCTAAAAGCTTGTGTCTAGAGATGGAGAAAAGAACTAGAAAGTTCATTTGGGGTACCTCATCTACAGGCGGTAAGAAGTTAAGCCTAACAAATTAGGAGGTGGTAAAGACACCAAAGAATATGGGTGGCCTGGGGATCAGAAAACTCCATGAGCTAAATCTTGCGTATATGGTCAAGCTAGGGTGGAGGCTCAAATCGGAGGCACAAAGTTTGTGGGCTCGCACTGTGGAAGCGAAGTACAATACCACTGGGAGTCCCAAGCCTCCATTGTGCGACGGAGGAAGGCTTCAGCTGTATGGAGAGGGATCAATGAAGCTAGCAGCTACCTAGAGAATGGAATTACGCCTGTAGTGCGTAACGGAAAAACCACCCGCTTCTGGATGGATGCTTGGCTAACGACGCGTCCTCTTTACGACCAATTACAGATTCCGTTAAGTCTACCAGATTTGTATGCCTTCGTGGAGGACTACTGGGATCGGCGGCGAGGTTGGCGATGGGAGAAGCTGGCTCACACGCTACCAATGGAAGTTCTGGAAAGGCTAGCAAGCTTCTTGTTGGTCGACGACAACCTAGACGATGAGGTGGGATGGGGGCCAGATTTAACAGGCCGGTTCTCAATCAAATCAGCGTACGAGATAATCGTGCGGACAGCAGACAACCAACCGAACGGTGATTGGAGTCGTTTATGGAAATTGCGGCTACCGGGGAAGATCTGCTTCTTCCTCTGGCTCGTGAAGCACGGAAGAATCCTTACAAACGCTGAACGTGTTAGGAGGCATCTGGCATCTGACACATCTTGTTCTCGTTGTGCAAGGTTAACGGAGGATATGAACCACCTGTTCAGAAGATGCTCGGATGCGCAAGCGATTTGGGCTGCAGCGCTACCACGGAATGTAGAGGCCCATCTTTGCACCCTAAGCTGGGAGGACTGACTGTCCAAGAACCTGTGGGGCAATGCGTAGCTCAGGTTTGGTGAAAGTTGGCCCGAACGTTTCGGCGTTAGGCTTTGGTGGCTTTGGAGGTGGAGAAACGATGACGTTTTCAGACATGCAACCATGCCCCTAAGTCAGAAGAAGGGCTGGTTAATCAACTATGATGCTGAGGTCAAGGCGGCGTTCGCGAAGCATCGTGTCCAGGACAAGATCAGCGTGCAGCAAGAGGAGTCTTTAGCTTGGGTAAAACCAACTGCGGGTTGGATGAAGGTCAATGTCGACGGTTGCATAAAGGAAAATGGAGTGGCTTGTTGCGGCGGTATTCTGCGGGACGACAGTGGCAACTGGCAAGGCGGTTTCACTCACAACATTGGGCGGTGCCGAGCAGACGAGGAGGAAGCGTGGGCAATGCTTCAAGGTATTAGACTGGCAAGACATTTTGGTGCACAGAAGGTAGTGGTAGAGAGTGACGCTTTGGCTGTGGTCAACAGTCTAAGCAAGAAGGACAGCCACAGTGGCAATACTATTCGTCGTTGCCTCCTTGAGGCGAGATGTTTGGAGGAAGTGGCTTACAAATACGTCTACAGAGAGCAAAACTCAATAGCAGACCATTTAGCCTCGATGGCGCGTTCCCACCAAATTGGTGTCCGGCTCCTGACCGAGCCTCCTCAGGGTCTCCAGGAGGCTATTCAACAAGATAGAATTGGTGCCGGATGTCCTCGTGGATCTCTCCGACGAGTCAACAGAGGGCAAAGGCTCTCTTAGTTTTGTTTGGGTATCACCATCTTTCTGGATCAAAAAAAAAAAAAAAATCAACTCTAAGCCAATAAAGAGATAAATCAAACAATAGTTATTGCGT